TATCAAGGGTTCATGAGGGGGGGTGGAGCGGGGAGGGAGGGGAAAAATGAGCTGATGCCAGGGTCTTAGGTGGAAAGCAAATGTTTTGAGAATGATGAGGGCAATGAATGTACAAATATGCTTTACATAATTGATGTATGTATGGATTGTGATAAGAGTTGTATGTGCCCTTAATAAAATGATTTTTTAAAATAAATATATTATAAATATTTTTTTAAAATGTTACTAAGGATCAATATGCCAAACACTTAAAATCTCTGCTTTTAATTTCAGTAAGCTCTGCTACATCAAGGTAGCTATCTAGCTCCATCATACCAGTCGTTTTATATAAGAGAACAGACATGTTAGTTCATTAATTAATGGATTCAAATGAATTTGGGTTCAGGCTGTATCAGGGTTAGATTCTGCTGCATATAATAGAAAATTTTAATATAGTCAAGGTGACAGTGTTATTCAGTTCAATTTTGGGGACATACCAAAGTATTTCCTATTTTTTAAAAGTTCTCAGAAAACTGGGGATAGGGTTATAATTTAGTATATTTAAAATATAGGAATTTGAAATAAAGTAATAGGTTATTTTCACTCAGAAAAATAATCATTTTTATAGGCCTGCATTTGTTATGATTTATTTTAGGTGTTATTCAGAAATATAAAGCCTTTTATTTGCTACATTAAACACTTTTTTCCCCTCTTAAGATAAAAATCTGTCAAATTCCTTCTCAGAAGGGCCACACGGAAGGCCTGATAAATCCATGGTGTGGTATAACATTGTTTATGGTTTTTATTTGTTTATCTCATTAATCATGTTAGATTTGCATGTGTTTATTTGTATATTTAAAATCTTTCAGTAAGTGAAAGCCACGATTGATAGCTCTTCAGAAACAGTAACAGGAGTCACGGTTCCCTGAGGGAACAGGAAGAGAGGGTGGGGATAGGGAGCTGATAGCATTGATGACTATAACCCCACTCAGTGGGACTGAACAACAGTATTGTATGTGAATGGACAATATTGGATTGCATAAGCTATGGGAGGGGCGCTATTATATAGAAAAAATAAATAAGGGTTCCAGGGGGAGTAGGTTGGGGAGGGAGGGGATAAAGGGAAGCCGATATCAAGGAGTTCAAAAAGAAAGAAGATGTTTTGAAATGGTGGTAGTAATTGTACAATACTGCTTGACTTAATTAAATGTTATGATATCTGTAAGAGCTCCCAATAAAGTGATTAAAAAAAATTTTTTTTAATTCCTGTCAAATCAGGAATTGGAACTTCTTAAATCCATAAACTCTTTTCTAGATTGAGCAATAAATTAACATATTCTTCTATGAGCCATGGTGACCTGGAATATGTGTTACATTGTGAAAACGGTGACAGAAAGTACCTATCAGGGAACAGCGGTCCTGTGTTCATCAACAGCTGGAAACCTGACCAGTAAGCCTTTACTGCCTTTAAAAAAAAGCATTTTATTGGCGCACACTTCACAAATCATAAAATTTAATCATTCAGTCATATTAAGAAGAGTTGTGCAATTCTTTTTTTTTTTTTTTTGAGTTGTGCAATTCTTACCACAATTTCAGAACATTTTCTTTTTGCACTCATTGTTAGCTCCCATTTCCCTTCACTCTCCCCTGCCATGCCTCTAGGTGATAATTCACCCAGCTGCTGTCACTGTAGATTTACCTAGCCTGGATTTCATATACAGAAAATGGTAGAAAACACAAACAGGAAGCAAACAAGCACAACTCAACACTACTGACCAGGCAAAACAGAAAAACCTGAATTCAACAGAAAGCAGAAAATACTGAAAACTGAATCAACTTTAAAATGAGTCAGAAGGGAGATTAAGTGATAAGATATTACATTTTTAACCTAACCATGCCTGCCATAGTTGACTTTACAATGCTCCATTGGATAA